TGCAGCGCCATCTGAAGCAAAGAGCATACTTCCTGCGGACACTTTTTAGGCTGAGTGGCCCATCTTGTCTTGTACTATCTTTGAAACCAACCTATGCAAAAACAAAGCAAATAGGACAAATCTCTAGAAATTGAATACAATTTACTCACGTATTTTCCTCATTCTCAAATCTTGGCACAAATGTAGGTCATTCAGACACGTAATCACTACAAACTTGGGAAACCCCTGAGGGAAAAAAAGAGAAGGCGTAAAAATGAAACTGTCAATTCCTTTGAAGGTCTCGACATGACAACAACAACAGTTTGTAAGATCTATGACCGGCAGTACGCCTACTCATTTTTCAAATAATCTATTTGCAGCACATGAAAAAGATCTTGGTTTTAGTTTTAGTAAGTGTTTTACGGCACTTGCAACACAATAAGGTCATATAAGTGTCGAAGATTAGAGGGGTTACAAGAGAGTAACAACCACAAAAAAGAAGGAGGGGAGATAAGGACGACAGATGTTTGATAGGAAAGAAGAAAAGCAAACCACACCACAGCACCAGTCAACCACCCACAAAAAGATCTTAATACAGTCGAAATTGTCCAAGACAGCTGCCCACTGTCCAGGAGAAAAGTGGTTGTCTTAGACAGGCGGATGTATTGGACAGTGTCATTTTACTGTAAAAAACGCAAGAGGGGAATCAGGAAGTGGCCGTTTGTACAGTTAACAAACACTCTTTGACAGATGGCCATTAGAGCATGTTCAACTGTGTTTATGTGACACATGAAAAATCTTTCTTTCTTAGAATTATGTTTTAATTCTTTTTTTTTAAGTCGGTAAGTTCAAACACCTTAAAGTACGAACCTTATCAGGAAATAGATAGGGATAACAAAGTATTCGATTTTCTAACTCAAACAAAAGAGTGAGGAACCCATCTTAAACGATGGTTACTCAAACTGGATTCATTATTATTAAGAGAGATTCTCCTTAGTTTGCCAAGCAACAATCATGATTACTGGCATGTGTCACAATTTCATCCTCATGTTGCAGCCACAATCCCAATATAATACTTTTTTAGCCTAAAAATTGATTACGCCCACCATTCCAACAAAGAAAAACCTGTGGGGGAAAAAAAACAGGATTTGTCAATAATAATGAAAACAAAGCCCATAAGTCAATTGTAACTTTTACCAAACATTTTCATTCACCATCTGTTTATCCATCAAAACTGCAACCTCCCCCCCCCCCCCCACCCCTTCCCCAGTCCATAATAATAATCCCAACTCCCCATCTGTTCATCCATCAAAACTGCAGTCCCCACCCATCCCCCCCCCCCCTCCCAAACTCCCCTTTCACCTTCCCCATAATCCTGCCCACCTGTTCATCTATCAAAGCTGCAATGTGCTTGGCCGCGGGTCTCTTCTTCACCACCGTCCCCCCTGCACTCTCCACGATGCTGCTGAGCTCACAGACAGGAGGCACTGTGCTGGGGCTGATGTAAAAAGTAAGACCCTTTGGGGATGAGATGAAGGGAAAGTTAGAGAACGTGGAGGAAGAGAGGCAATTGTTTTAGAGAGAGTTTTACGATACACATGCAATACAATTAGGTCATATCGGTGCTGAAGATTTGAGGTGTAACAAGAGAGTAACAAACACAAAGAAGGAGGAGAGATTAGAGGTGTTACAAGAGAGTATTTGTAAACACAAGAAAGAGGAAAAGACTGAAGGTGTTACAATTACAAGAGAGCAAATAACACCAAAAAAAGAGGAGACATGAGGAAAATTTCTACTTCCAACTCCTTTTTTTTTTTTGTGAGAGTTTTACGACACTTGCAACACAATAAGGTCATATAAGTGCCAAAGATTAGAGGTGTTACAAGAGAGTTACAAACATGATAAAAAAGGAGAAGAGATCAGGACGATAGATGTTTCATAGGAAAGAAGAAGCAGCAAACCACACAAGAGCACCCGCCAACCACCCACTTACAAACTTACAAGAGAGTAACAAACACAAAAAAGAAGAAAGAGAGAAAAGAATCATTTCTATCCCCCCTCTTAAAATGAATTTACCACACCTTTCATGCACACATCCTGGTCACTCAAATGTGGCCCCACAGAGAGTGGAGAACTTTTATGTGCTTAGTAGGTCTACCAAGTCCTGAATAAACAGCTCAAGTACTTTTACCACACACAGATAGAGACAGTTTTAGTTTTAGTCGAGTTTTTACGGCGCTTGCAACTGCATAAGGTCATATGAGCACCAAGGGGTGGACGTCAACAGAGAAGTCCATACAGGGAATCAGACTTACTCTGCTCGCTTCTCTAGCTTCAACAGCACAAAGTCTGCTTCTACTATCAAGGCTCCCCGGAAATAGCGGGTCACAAGAGAGTGACAAACATACAAAAGAAGAGGAGGAAAAATGACGATAGTAAGGATTAGAAAAGAAAAAGCAGGGATAGAGATAGACCATGTTCTATTCATTCCATATCCTGATAACCCAAATCGTAGACTGACCTGAAATAACGGCTTTGCACTCGACCTCCGCAGAGATTCGGACAAATCACATCCGAGAGCGGCCTCTCCTCTCTCATCCTTGAGGGCATACCGCGATTCTTCTGTTGACGGAAAGGGAAAGTTTAAACTCTCAGAGCTTGTACAACACCTGATACAACCACAACACATAATTACTTCTTGGAATTTTATCCAACCCTGAAAAGGTTTGAGAGAAAAATCAGAGGGTAGGAGTCGTAGTTGTTGTTAACGATCCAGTAGCATCTGATCGTTAATTCTTCTGCATGATGTCATTCTGTAATAGCTCCATGCATGTCTGTTCTAATTGTTGTCTTGAGGACTAGAGGCAGTTAGGTGAGTGGGGAAGCTTGGGGAAAAAACATCCCCTCATATCGGTTAGTTTTCAAAAAAAGAACAGATGATGTTCCACTGTCTCTGAGGGTAGTCACATTGTGGGAAGGCATCAGACTGCTTTACTCCAATTCGGTTGAGATGTAGATTGAGGGGTACATGTTGTGTTCTAAGTTGGAAGATTAAGGAATGAGAGGGTAGGAGTCAAAACCTTTAACTTAAGTTATTTGCACGATTAAGAAATCTTTCACTCAATGGGGGGCATATTTAAACCCATGTCACGTTAACAACAAATAAAAGTACACCTGTTATATTATACAAAATCTTACCAAAAAAAAGAGTTTATCTGTGCGGGTAAAAGATGCAAATTGACACAATAATGATCCTTTACTTTAGAGCAGTGACAAATGAAGACAGATACACAGAAGCATGCAAGGGAAAGAAAAAGTAGGAGCTACCAGTGTCACTCTCCAACCGACCGCAATTAAACAAAGTGAAGGTAAAATTAGGAAACACAATCTTTTAACAAATGCAGAGCTGCAAACTTTTCAAAACGAAAAAAGCAGATTTAACAAGAATATTCAATTACCTCTTTTAGAAAAAAAGGAAAGGTCACAATTGCTCACCAACACACATAAGTTCAATCAGAACTTCGCGTAAATAGAATTAAGCTACAACCCCCCTCCAAATGTATACACTTTGTAAGTGCCCATGAGAAACAGTTGAATCCCCATGTATTCCACAGCCTACCACATACAGCTTCAGAAAACAACCTTTTTCCCCAGTGAGGTCAGACAAAGAAAAAAAACTTCATTGTATAGGACTCCAATTCACTCTGTGGTACTGAATCCAAGAGCAAAAGCTGTATCAACAAATTATCCTTCCAACCTCTCCCACAAAAAAAAACGAAAAAAAACCGCACCTAGAAACCTGTCCTGTGTCGCACTGTCCTCCAGCCAGTCCCTGGTGACGACATGACGGCAGCAGTTGATGGCCACAAAAAACTTGATGGTGCGAGCGAGGCTAGGACAGACCAGATGGGTACAGTGCCGTGGGTTGGTCACGACCGTACCTCCCAGCATCTTCACAATCTGAGCGAAACAATAAAAAAGAAGTTTTTTACAACTTAGCATAAGGCTATGGTTAGAATAAGCATAATGTGTATTGCTCTTTAGAGCATGTAATTACGAGTATATAACTCAAGAGGTCTTGTAATTGAATTCCTGCATGTGGTTGAATGATGCATCTGATGTGATAAGTGCCTTTTGTCAGCTTTACTTCACTGTACATGTTGAATTTTTAATGAGAGTAATATATAACTCAGATTTTCTATGTATACCCGCATGTGTTTTTACAGCCAAGAAAAATTTCCCTCTGGGATTATAAAGTCTTATCTTGTCTTATCTTAAAACAAAAGTTTTTTAGTTTTACTAAGAGTTTTGCAGCACTTGCAAGACAAATACGACATATGAGTGCTGGAGATTAAAGGTGATACCACCGAGTAGCATAAAAAGAAAAGAAGGGCAAAAGATAAGAATGATAGTTGATAGTTTCAAGTTTCTAACAATGACCCTTTTTCCAAAAAAACTCTCTCAACAAAAGAGAAATGTACTTACATTCTCCAGCTTTGACACCTGTGACTTGGGGTAAAGAGTAAACATGACCTTTGGCCCTCCTGTCTCGACTTCAGGGGCAGGGGCAGAGCAATCCACTCTGTGAGGGTCAACGAAGGAAGATATAGCAGTCATATATTATGTGAGTAAGAAACCAGGTAAGAGATTTTCTTTTGGTCAGAACACAATGTTTTATGTCACTGTTGTATTGTAATGTAAACCGATCAGACCCTTGTACTTTAATCGCAGTTGAGCATTATATAAATGTCATTTATTATTATCGTTATTATTTTATTAATAGAAATTAGCTTCAATATAAAATTATCATGCAACAGGTTATAACTTTCTCAACGTACAACAGAGTCTGCTGAAACCAAATATCTGTGGGACCGCCTGATTTTCTTTTGGTTTCGAGAGGTTCAAATTGAAATGACTGTGGAGAGCTGAAAGTCAGGCGTGCCATGTTTGCAGCAATTTTCATTTTTTGAGTTCCTTCTCATCTACTTCTTTCAGTAACTGCAATTTGAACTGCAGGTTGAGCGTAATGTGCTTCCTCTTCAACATCGTGAGCATGCATAATCTGCCGAACAGCACAAAGAACAGGTGAAAGGGAAGTCTATACAGAACTAAGAAAGAAAGCCCCAATGCCAGTGATGTTGATTTAAGCGGACTCCACTGTATTTTATAATGATAATTCATAAGTTTTTGAATGAACACCTTTCATCATCAAGCTACAAATTTCCAACAAAAGAAGAGGGAGGGAGCAAGGGAGAGGAAGAGAGACAGAGAGAGAGATGATAACTTACTTCTGCCTCTTGGGAGGAGAGGGACCATTTGTGCACGTGTTTTCTTGTCCCGAGGCAGAGATGACCGTTGGACTGCACTTCTGAAATAGAAGGGAAACATTTACACAATAAAACAGAAGCGGGAAGAGATGATTATCTTGACTGGAATCTAGCACAACCATACTTCTGAAATGGGAACACATATAGACAAATGGGAAGACTAACCTTAACCATATCGTCGGTGTCCGACTCTTAAAAAATGTCACATTCCGTGAACGAATGTCAAACTCAAAGAGGAGATAAGAGATGAGTCACTATAACGATAAACATAGACACACTTGTGCATGGACACCTTGCAAAATAATATCGCTATCAATAGTGAGACCTAAAGACCTCGGTTCACACATTGCCCAGCCGTAAAAAGATGCTGTTAATATTTCACTGGCTTGGCTAAACAGTAAGAGAAAAAAAACATGAACAAACCTTCCAAGTTTCCTTCGTGATTTTTATTGGGCTCTTCCATCCACCTAGTTAAAAAAAAAAAACATTCAAAAATAAAATTTGCTGTATAATAAAGTATTTAGGATCTCAGGATATGTGATGTATGCTGACAAAATTAGGTCTTTCTCAGATTTTGGTCCTAAGGAAATAGGTATATCAAATGTATAGGATGATTTTGCACAATTTAGTAGTATGAAATGATAAAAGACATGTTAATAAACTTGAAAAAATGGCTATGGTAGAAAACCTACAATTTTGATCCCTAATTCGATTTTAAGTCGCTATTTCCATTCCCAGATTTTATCAATATGCCACACATCACATACAGAAAACAGGCAAACCAAGGACTAAAACAAAAATGTTAAGCAGTTAACAGTGCATTTATGACTAAAATTAAACTTTTTTTTTTCTGACATGAGGGGTTGTACAGAAGTAAAAAATAGTTGCTTGATTATGTTGCATATATTATATATGTAATCCATAACAAAATTTAAAAACCCAAAGAAATGAACATATTTGACCTCACCATACACAGAAAATGAGGATATATCAAACACATAAGCCCACCAAAGCCAGTTGAACAGAAAATAAATAAGATGATTTCTTTTTTTTTTCATAGCGCAGAACAGTATTTTACTCTTTGAATTATCTACAATCTGTCAATGGTAGCATAAGCATAAACTGTTATTAGAACCCAACAAATTAAATGATCTAAATTGTCACCTTGTGTCAATGGTGGTGTAAAACATATATCTATAAATATATATTATATTTGTGAAAGTTCGTCACTTTGGTCGTCTAAAACTTCCAAATCACTTATCTTTCTAATTTGAAAAAATTAACGGTGGTTCAGAATCATTTAAAGGGTGCGCAGTTATATTAAGGAGTCTGAAGTCACTGTAGTTTAATATTAAGTTTTTCATTAGTTTCGTTTAGATCTAGTTCTGAGAAAGTCTGTCTTCTACAACGCCATTGTAAACAAGTGAGACTTCCGTTCACACGCAGTGCGCACTGGTCCAACAATGACTTAACGATCGATTCTTTTCAGTCCATTCATTGAACAGGGTACCCAGCTAGTACAACTATAATTTTATTGACATCAATTTACCCATCAAATGTGTAACTCTAGTAAGGTCCATGTAGAACTCTCTCCCCTGACCAACTTGAAGATAGCGCACGTGAACAGGTAGTCGAAGAGCGTCCATGTGTCCGAGGACAAGGTCAGACAGCCACTGCACATTCACCACCGCAATCCTCCATTCTTTCGCTTTTTCAAACTTCATGCCCCCCGGCCTGGAGAGAAAAAAAACACAGAAAAAATTACAACTAGAAGGGAGGATGTGAAGAACAATGTGTAGTCTCTCTCTCAATACTGAAATTGAAGAGAATCAGACAGTGACATAGAAACTGCTCAGAAAAACACTGAGAATTAGATAGAATCGGATAATAACACTGAACATGAAAAGAATTGGATAGTAACACTGAAAGTGAAAAGAATCGGATAATAACACTGAAAATGAACAGAATTAGATAATAACACTGAAAGTGAAGAGAATTAGATAATAACACTGAAAGTGAAGTGAAATAAGACAATGTGTTGTCTCTCTCAGCACTGAAAGTGGAGGGGAATCATAAGCAGCCACTTCGTCCTCAACAACAAGTTCACTGGTGTCCGAGTGGTCAGGTTACGGATCACAAAAAATTGACGAGAGCCTGCTTCCACCACGACGCGGCACATATTGTCTGTGACGATATGCTATTGTGTACCATAGAACATTGATGTAACTTCTGTGTTATGTTACGTTTGCACTGTCTGAGCCTGAGCAATTGTACACAAATTTCACGATAAATATCAACAAAAGTAGTACAAGAAGGAGAACACTTGAAGACCTCAGAGGAAAAACCACGTTAGTCACAGGAAAAAAAATATACGGGACAACTGCCCCTCTTTCACATCTGCCTTCCTTTCCATGCACAACCAGTTTAAATATGTCACTACAACATGACAACAGCTGTTTCTGACAGAACTTGCTTTAGTACCGATTTACGAAACGGAACAGGTCAAACAAAAGACTGAAACAGACAAAAAGCAAAAAATAGAAAATGGAGACTTATGCAATTTTCCCCCTGTATTCTTCATTCGTTTCTACGCTACTGTATGCACTATATGCTTCCCATGAAGTAGATTTAGTTTCAGAATGCTATCAAGTCTACAGAGGTAATAATATTCATGAGTGCATCGCAATACTTGTTTAGTTTTAGTAAAGATTTTACGGCGCTCGCAACTGCATAAGGTCATATTAGCGCCTCGCAATACTTGTCCCTCCATCCATTCCATCAAATTCGCCATTTTTCTTCTGGACAGATCCTTGACCATATCCGTCAATTAGGAACAAAAATCACATCACTAACGAGTTTGTAAATGATAATCATTGTCCCATGTATCACAATAGACAACAGCCACCATGGACAGAGACTCACTTTTTACAGATGAGGGCAGAGTTGTGATGAGTCATGTAGCCGGTATACTTCGCTCCGATAGCGTTGATCATCTGCTTCAGTCGCATCCTTTCTTCTCCATCAAAATTAGTGACACTGATCATCTTGAAAAAACAAACATTTTGTTTAGCTGCAAGTAAACAATCCTAATTTCTTCTTTTTTTTAAAGAAACCAACAAAAACAAATGTTTCACAACTTTATAAAGAAGATATAAAACAGTTTGCTTAGCAGCAAGTAAAAATCATCATTTCTTTCAAAAGAGAGTAAACAAACATAAATAATGTTCTTCAACAAAGAGAGAATATAAGACTTTATTCAGTCCTGTGAACCCTGCAGGAAATCTGCCAGTTAGGCCCTTCTCAACTTTCTCATACCCGTATCTTTTGTCACTGTCATATGATCCCACCAACACGATTTACACTTGCTAAAAGTCAACATTTTAAAAGGGGGAAAAAATTTATCAGAGGTCACCAAGTATGGAGGAACCTTGAAAAAGAAGCGATTCAATAAGTTCTCCCAATCCTGCACAATGGGGATGCTACTGCTGAGAGCTGTATCACAGACATTCAGATTTCCCAAACCTAGCAATTTGCCTTCAAGTGTTCAAAAAGGCAATTTGTAGAAAAGAAAAGATAGAAAGGGTTCTGTTCTCCAATTAGAAAAATAAATATTCAACAACAGCCAAATACCAACTTACAGGAAAATCTATTTCAGCCAGAAACCCACCTCCTAAATTATCTAAATTGTGTTGATGGGGGTGCAAAAAAAAACACCTGTTTAAAACCCCCCAAAAAATCAGCCAGTAACAAAAGCAAGCAAAGCGTTCTCTCAGGTACGTTACAACCTACCTGATTAAAACCCGGTTTCTCTGAATTAAACGACAACGGAAGATGAAGAGCTTGCCACGGGGGAGACATTTTCTTCTGCATCAGGCAATCGTTCAACCAGAACGCCGACACCACTCGCTTACCTTCCTTCAAGGCCTGAAATAGACAGTTACAAAAACCCAAATGAACAAAGACAGTTACAAAACCAAAATGAACAAAGACAGTTACAAAACCAAAATGAACAAAGACAGTTACAAAACAAAAGCTTTCAGACAAGTACAGCATTTACCCATGCTGTTTTTGTTATCTACCTCTAGAAACTGGAGGGTTTTATCCTTCTGTCTATCGTCACATACAGAAAAATAAAGAATACATTCAATCTGCTTAATACGAATTCAAACTTCCATAACAGCTTTAATTTTGCAAACAAAATGGCCATCGACTCATTAAAGGACATTTGACTAAATAAAATTAAAAAACAATCAAAACAAAGCATTCATCGAGAACAGCAGATCATTCAGCCCTTATGTGCCAGGCTCAAGCAAGAAAAAATAAAATTTTCAATTCTTTAGAACTTTAAAAGGATTTAAAGAGGAGAATGTATCATCAGGTCTGTTTTATTCAAATATCTCATCAAGCAAACAAACTTCTTCAACTCATCTTAAATTTGAGAATTTTTTTTTTACACTTAAAAGACAGAAACCCAATATCAGCCACTTCTCACAGCGGTAATTGTTAAGGCTTTTTATGTCATTTCCCCTATTTTTTTTAAACCTCAAGAACAAAAATACATTGAAATTACACAGGTCTAGACAGCACACAGGTGAAGAAGAGGAACAAGAAAAAAATTACCGTTTTGAAAACATCCGACTTTCTATTTGCACACAAAACGTGAGTAATTCGAGGACAATAGGACGTCTCCACTTGCCCACCAAACTGTTCAATCACCTGGAACATAGAGGGAACATTCTTAGCCGTCATCTTGTTGTGTCCTAATATTTTAATTCTTTTTACAGCATAATCTATCAGCACCTGAAAATGGATATACAATTTAACATGACACCTTGTGTTGCAAAGTCAGCAGGACGTGGAAATCTTTCTTATCTACAAATTCGTCATGTACGGGCCTTGAAAATAAAGAATATACATACACACATAAGAAAAAATTCAAGGCCTGAAAATCTGTTTACTACGTTCGTGTTTCACTACGTGCATGCTACACTGTATTTAAATACCATGTAGAAATAATAAAACCAAAAAATTATTGAAAAGCCTTTTTTACTTCAAACGTTTCACAAATGCATTTAGAATGCAACTGGAATAGCCTTTTTAAAGCTTGTTGAAATTCTAACTCTATTATATCACTTTCATAAATGCATTTAGAATACAACTGGAACAGCCTTTTTAAAGCTTGTCGAAAATTCCAACTCTATTATATCACTTTCACAAATGCATTTAGAATACAACTGGAACAGCCTTTTTAAAGCTTGTTGAAAATTCCAACTCTATTATATCACTTTCACAAATGCATTTAGAATACAACTGGAACAGCCTTTTTAAAACTTGTTGAAAATTCCAACTCTATTCTATCACTCACCGTTTTCCATGAAGAAATTTCATCTGAGCCTAGTATGTTGTGATAATCAATAATGCAAAACACACATCCCAGAAGGCAAAACTCTGAAGGAACTGAAACAACGAAAAAACATTTGAAATGTGGGGTCAAAATAGAGTTCAAATCTTTATTAACACAAGCATAACTATGAGCAACACATTTACATTTGTTAGTTTTAGTAAGGTTTTACAGCACTCGTAACTGTTTACGGTCATATGAGCGCAAGGGGTAGATGTCAACAGAGAAGTCCAAACGGGGAATCAGGCTTACTCTGCTCACTTCTCTAGCTTCAACAGCACAAACTCTGCTTCGACTATCAAGCCACCCCAAAAATAGCAGTTCACAAGAGAGTCATGACCAGCCAAGTAAAAATTACTTATGAAATCAATTATTCGAGTTGTGGGACTTTAACTCCACGAATACCAAAAGATTGGGGAATGTGGGGAAAGTTGTGTGCGACTCCAGCCGACAGCATTTCATCTTCTTAATCCTACATTTACTCAATTCAACTTTTTTGTCTTGCTACATTCTCTCTTCCATCTCTACAGCTACATCTGTCTCCATCTTGTAATGGCAACATCCATGTAAGTCCTATCATCCATTCTCTCATTACTGTGCACGCATTCTAATTCTAATATCGCATATATACTCGATTCATTATGGGTAGCTTCATAGGTTAAAGCTAACAATTATACTATATCGCCAGCCGGTTGAGTAATCTCACCCCAATCGCTAACAGCATCTTTTCTTTCGGCATCATCTTCATCATCCAATCTTTCTCCCGAATGCAGAAAAAAACCTCTCCAAAGGTCACTTTACCCCCCCCCCTCCCCCCTCCCCCTTTCAGGAACCTTACTAAAAGTCCAGGTTGTAAAAAAAACTTATCTAAATTATATGTGGATGGGGAAGTAAAACACTACTACAATTGAGAAACAAACGTGAAAATACCATTTTCTTTCGGGTCATGTCCATAGTAGGTGGGGCCTGATTGCGACTGGGCGGGGGTGGAGCTTGCTGTGTGGGAGGCGACGGGAGCCGGCTGAGACGTCTGCGGTGGTGCAACAGCCCGAGGCGGGAAGGGATATTCTGGCGGGGGTGGTCGAGCCTGGGGAGGCATGCCCATTCCAACCATTGGAACCATCTAAAACAAGTATAGTTTCGAAATTTACATGAAGCCTTTTTTTTAATGACATTTGGCCATACAGTATCAATAGACACAATTTGAGAGCAGCTGACAAAGAGTTTCAACTCGGAACATATTCGACGAAGAAAAGTCTCAGGAAAAACATCAGATTCCTCTTTATATTCCTTAAAGATTTAGCCACAAAGGCTCTCATAGTTCACAATAAATATTTTTTAAATACTATACCTATGAAACACATAGTGTAATAGTAGTAAAATAAATTGTTATGAAAATTTGAGATAAATAAAAGAAGACAACTAAATACACTCATTTTCAATTTCTACCCTTGACAGCAAGTCAATTCCACCATTCTTAATTAATACTCTTGGCAGTAAGCTTAATTCCATCATTCTTAATTAATACTCTTGACAGCAAGCTGAATTCCCTCATTTTTAACTTCTACTCTTGACAGCAAGCTTAATTCCACCATTCTTAATTAATACTCTTGGCAGCAAGCTTAATTCCATCATTCTTAATTAATACTCTTGGCAGCAAGCTGAATTCCCTCATTTTAAACTTCTACTCTTGACAGCAAGCTTAATTCCCACATTTTGACAAGTTACCTTTGGGGATGCAGTGGGCACAGACGCTCTCAGCTGTACACCTGGGGCTGGGGGAGTAGCGCGGTTGGTGATGTTTCGGAGGGTGTTGCGGATATTGTTGCCGTCCATCCTCAGCTGAAGAGCCATGGTCGAGACAGGAGAGGGGATTCTCACACCGCTGGCTGCCCCGGGCGAGCCCATGGAGTGCGACGGGACCGGCCGTTCGGGCGTGGTGGGCTCAGAGGAGTTCTTGCCATGAATCCTGCTTGTGATCTTCCTGGCCAGGGCTTCTTTAGCATTCGGTGTATCCGGACGAGCCAGCTCCAATCTGAACAAGAAAAACCATCACTCAATTTTCCTCAAAACCAAAACCAAAAGTAGGGGGCACACTTAGACCAGACAGAGGTGGGCAAACTTTTTCAACACAGGACCACGTCACAGTTTTTTAGTTTTAGTAAGAGTTTTACGGCACTTGCAACACAATAAGGTCATATAAGTACCGAAGATTAGAGGTGTTACAAGAGAGTTATAAACATTTTAAAAAAGGAAGGGAGATAACGTCGATGGTTGTTTAAAAGGAAAGAAGGAGCAAACCACACCAGAGCACCCGCCAACCACCCACATATCACAGTTTGTGATGTGTTGAGGAGCATAAATGCACACACATATATATATACATCAAATAAACACCTTGATAAAAAAATCACTACAGAAAGAGCTGAGATATTCTATCAATGACAGCCACTAATGCAGATAGCACTATTTGATAATAAGCTCGCGAGTACTCCGACTCTTAAGACAGACTTGCACTAGTTACAATCGTATGTAACAAGAAATTATTTATTCAGGCTGAGTCCATGCTTATTCACCATTTACTTATCAGTGAAGAAAGTATAGAGTTAAGATGAATTTATTATTGAAAATAATCTTAAATATTTCTAAAAGCTGGAGAAAGTCCCATACACACTATTATTTATCTGAATGAAGAGCAGATTTTTAAAAAATAAACAACACAGTAATTCAAATGTTTGTTTGTGACCTGTTCACTAATGCAGGGGTGAGAGAGGCAATTGTGATGATGATGATGATGATGATGATGATGATGATGATGATGATGATGATGATGATGATGATTGTAATATATCTCTGCAATATCTGTTACATGAGCAATAACTGTGTTTGGTTCACTATCGCTAATTACCGTAGTTATGTCTCCTAGTTTGAATCCATTAATTTAGCACTCTTCAGGATGAGCAATTAAAGTTATGATTCAGTAGTGTCACAAACATCAAACAAGGTCGGTTGCTGTTTTCAGTGTACGATTGTTGTGCTAGACTATCCATGTGTATATAACTTATTATGATGTATCACAATTATGATGATGAATTCAGTCTTTACCTGTCATCTCCTATCTGCTGCTTAGAAACAGGAGAGGGCAAAAAGCCCATGGTCTGATTCCCCAGATTTACATCCATGGGTTCTGGGAGGGGCAGAGTTTCCGCAGCAGTAACGACTGGAGGTGCTGCTGGAACAACTGGCTCTGGCTCTGGCTCTGGCTCTGGCTCAGGCTTGGGGTACTCGATGAGACGAGGGTGGAAGAGAGTCTCATCTTCTCTCTCTCCTTTTGTGATGGAGTCCACGACCCAGTCGGGTGTGACAATTTTCACCTTTTCAGAATGGTCAAGTGCTGCCACATATTTATTCTGAAACAATAACAATGCATTGTAAGTAAAGTAATTATTGCAAAAAGGAAAATGTTACACGCAACCAAGAAGAGATATCAACAGTAAATTCATTCCAAAAAAGTTGTTGCAAAAAACTGGACTTCATAGTCAATACACAATAAACACCCAAAAAATGTGCTCACAATCAGAATTTCATTTAACACTTCTGTCTACATCTCTTATATCCCTAGAAAAATACATACAAAAACTACAGAGGCGCCCTTCAACATGTCAAACAAAAATGAAATTTTACATAGAAAGGAATATCTTCATATTCATAATTTACCAAACCCAATTAATCATGTGCAAGTTAAGAAAACCAAGTAACCCTCCTCCAAACTTTCCGCACACACATTTCTCACTCATATATGTGCACTCAATAAATTCAAGCTATTCATAGTAGACCTGCAACAAAAAAACTCTCCAACCGACCTATGGGTTTCATTCTCAATATCATTCACAGATCCGGTTTTGAGATTCAAAATATTTCCTCAGCTTCAGCAAGCCCGCGAGGAGCAATACTAGAAAACGTAGAATACATATTTTCTGATACATGGAAACCAACTGCCTAACTCAGACCCTGAAAAGCGTACTAAATGTTTTTCTACATAATGGTATGAAATTACATCGTGTACTTATATCCACAAAGAGTCAATAGTCAGTACAAAAAGCACAAACAAATGTGAACATTTTGCTGCTCCAGCTCACTCACCCCTTCACTGGCAGCAGTAATCAAGTGAGTAACTTTATCGTCCAGGTGAAGCTGACACTTCCCACCATGGTATGTTATCATGCACCACAGCGATTCCGCGTCTTCTTTTGACAGCTGAAAAGGATTGAGTTGACAGCATACATGAAAAATAAAATATCTGTTTAAATTCATCCATCCACATACTATTTTTAACCACGGGCTAAATCTTACAAACAACGATTTTATGGATGATTTTTAAAAATTGTTATTAACAATATCTCATTTATTCAGTTCTATTAAAAAGTTTTATGGCACTTAAGAAGAAGCAAACCACACCAAAGCACCCACCAACCACCTACATAAAAAAAATTCAGCACAGCATTCAAGAGCAACATCTCAAAAGAACATTTGTGTACTTTATTTCAAAGAAAAGACACTGAGACTCACCTCAAACGGGCAAGCAACAATGTCGGAAAAAATCCTCCCTTCTAAAGCAAAAGCCTCTTTCCTGAGAAAGCGTCAAGGATAACAATATATGAAAGTACAGAATAAATCCAACTCCCTGTGTCAACTTTTCCTCTATCACCCTCTCCCTTTTTGTCAAACAATAACTGGTTGTAGAAAAATAAGACAACTCAATAACAAACTTAAACTTCCTAAAAACAAAGCAATACTCAGGAAAATAAACTGAAACAAACATCAAGCAGTACCTCCATTTCCCATATGAACAACAGCATCAATGCAACATATCAACAACAAACTGAGTTCAATTGTTCTCAGCCCAGAACGCAAAATTTTTCAAGAGAG